TATGTCTGTCTGTTGTTTGACTGGAAACCACAGGAGTCAGTTCAGTTCCAGACCTGAAGGTTAACTAGGGACCAGAATCTCAAGGGTCTCACCAGGCTCTATCAGACCAATAAATCTGGTCTTTTCTTATCATTTTGAGTTTTGTTCCACATTGTTCTCCCATTCTATCCAGGATCTCCTGAACTGATTCCTTTCCGAGTGGTTGACAGTGTTAGCCAGGCACCATCTAGTTCTGGTCTCATGGTCATTCATATAGGCTGAGGATCACATGGTCTACTAGTCCCTTCGACAAATTGTTTCTTTGTGTCTTTGATTTTCTTCATTCTTCTTTGCTCTGGATGAAGAGAGACCCATTGTTGCACCTAGATGGCCACTTGTAAGCTTTTAAGACCCCAGTTGCTACTCACCAAAGTAGGATGTGGAACAATGTTTTTGTGCAGTATGTTATGTCAATTGAGCTTGATGTCCTCTGCAACTATGGTCCTGAGAACACAGGTCCAACTACTCACTCCTTCAAGGTGGTTGACTATAGCCAAGAAGTTATCATAACTTTGCCCTTTGTTAGCTCTATTATATATTTGGACATTCTTACAGCGCATACAAATATGTGTGTAGAAATGTCATCTGCCAACCACATATATGGTCATGGGTACATTCTCTTTTGCCTAGACATACCTGATCATTCAATCTTTCTACCCATCTATTTACCTGCAGATTAATGTTTGCTATCACTGACAACACAATATTGTATATCCAAAAGTGTTTATCTTTGTTGTCTGTACCTCTTGTGCACCTCGTTGTGTCTTCCTCTTCCTCAGTTCCACCATGTTTATCACTCATTTTTGATACATTGCCTTTCCCAAATCAACTTGTCTCTACCTATCTACCACTGTCTCTACCTATCTACCACCCTCCCCTTCCCTCTCATCCTTGGTAACCACAAAGAAAGTTTTCTTCCATATGCAAACCTTTCCTTGACTTTTTACAATAGTGAACTAATACAATATTTATCCTTCTGTGATTGACTTATTTCACTCAGCATAATGTCCTCCAAATTCATCCATATTATGAGGTGTTTCAAAGATTCTACATTATTCTTTAGTGTTGCATAGTATTCCATTGTGTGTTTGTACCATAGTTTGGTTATCCACTCTTCTGTTGACTGATTGTTTCCATGTCTTTGCTATTGTGAATAGTGCTGCAATCAACATGGGTGTGCACATATCTGTTCTTGTCCTGGCTCTCATATAAGGATATATACCTCATAACAGGATTGCTGTATCAAATAGTATTTCTATTTCCAACTTCTTAAAGAATCTCTATACTGATTTTCACAGTGGTTGTATCACTTTACAGTCCCACCAGCAGTGTATGAGAGTCCCAATCTCTCCACATCCTTACCATCATTTGTTATTTTCTGTCTTGTTGAACTGTGCTACTAGTGCTGGGACAAGATGGTGTCTCATTATTGTTTTGATTTGCATCTCTCTAACGGCTAATGATCATGAATGTTTCTTCATGTGTTTGTTGGCTGCCTGAATAGCTTCTTTGGTGAAATGTCTATTTATGTCTTCTGTCTGGTGATGTAGTGCCTAAGGCATTTGACTGCTAACCAGAAGGCTGGTGGTTCAAATCCACCAGCCACTATTCAGAAGGAAGTTTGGGCAATCTACTTCTGTAGTGATACTTCGGCAGAAACTCAAGGAGGAGTCATTATGAGTCGGATCTGACTCAATGGCAGTGAGTTTGGTTTTTGGTTTGCCCATTTTTTGATTGAATTGTTTGTCTTTTTGATGTTGAGATGTTGGAGTTTTCTATAAATTTTAGAGATAAGTCCCTTGTCAGGTATGTCATTGCTGAATATTTTTTCACAATCTGTACATTCTCTTTTTACTCTTGGAGAAGTTTTTGAAGCACATAAATATTTAATTTTTAGGAGGTCCCAATCATCTAGTTTACCTTCTACTCTTTGTGCATTTTGGATTATTCTTGCTATACATTAGAGCCCCTAAGTGTGCCCATATTTTTTCATTGAGGACCTTTATAGTTTTAGGTTTCATTTAAGTCTTTGATCCATCTGGAGTTAGTTTTTGGGAAAAAAAATTCTCTAGTCTCAAGTATGTGATTTAAATTGTAACAAGAAAAACATACTTTATTTTATATAAATTTCATCTTTTTTTCTACAATAATGTGGGGATTTAGACTAAGACATGATCCCTGAACAATCTTTGACTCTGCACAAATTTTTGATATAAAGTGCTTTATCTTTTGTTTTCTCAACACTTTATAATTTTCATTTGAATCTTATTTTATCCCCATAATTCCAAAGAGTCTATTTTATAGTTTAAAAACCTAATTATTACTATAAACAACTTAAAATAATGTAGTCTTATCTAGTTTTTTAAGTTTAATCAAAAGAAAATATAGATAAATTTATGTAGTCTTTGAATATATTCTGTGATGCCAATTTCATGGTCAATTTTTCCAAGTACTGTATGGACCACTATGTAGGATCTCTAGGTAAGTGACATTCGTTATATATATATATTTGAACAATTTCTCTCAGAAAGATCAGCACAAGGCCAGTCCCCATGAGGCAAAGGTTAAAGATGTCCCAAATGTCCAAACTACTATGCCACTCTATCATTTCAGACATTAACTCCTCCTCCTCCTTTCAGTAATCTCCCCGGTCTTAGGGTTCTTTATTTATCTGTAAGACCTCACAGAACTCAGAGACACCCAGGGATCGTCTCACATAGTAGTGGTGGAGGCTGGCAGGCCGGTGAGTCCCAGGTCCGTGAGTTGGTCTGGAGGATCCTCCCAATTCTTGGGATTTGATGAACCTCAATCAGCAGATCAGATGATGGCTGCTGTCCCAAATCCAAGGGTGAGATGATAATGAGCCAAAACACAGAATTGGAGCAAGAGGAGGTGAACCTTCCCAGGAGATTCGTAGATACACCCTCAAGGAAGCTAAGGGTGGTGTTTTGAATTATACCCTCCAGAAAGGCTGGACTCAAGATACAGTACACCTGTGTTGCTCCAACGGAAATGACCTAAGTGGATGGCTTTAACAATCAGCAGCTCAAGGTAAATCCCACCACAGAGCCAATTACCAGTCATTATAGGGAACGACTACTACCAGCTGCCCAGCCAAGTTGACACCCAACCTTAACTACCACACCACCCCAAATAGGCATGGGTAATAGGATTTACAATACATCTCTGAATGAAGGACAATGGCTAGAAGGGCCACATCAAGCAATTCACTGCAATATCTCTCATGTTAAGTCTAGTAAACAACTTTTTCAATTTATCCCTTAATTCTCATTCACACTAGTACCATGTCACTAGCAGGAGAAGGATAAGTAGGAGAATGTGACATGATGGACATAGAGATTGGTTTTGACTGAATCTTACATTGGGGAGATTTCAGGAATGTGGTGAGCTCAGTGGTCTCTTTTCTATCCCCTACAGGACAATAGGACACTTAACATAGTGTCAACTGTGATGGATCCCAACACTCTTTCAATGGAAGAGGGGAAACATCTTTTAAAGCAGTTTGGGATCCCACAAAGAGATGTGAGTATGGGAGTTTTGGGTCAAGTGAAACACAGGTGGAATAATCCAACCAAAACCAAACCCGTTACTATTGAGTCAGTTCTGACTCGTGGCTGCCCCATTTACTACAGAGGAGAACTAAGATCCATAGGGATATTTTGGCTTTAATATTTCTGGAAACACTTCACCAGGCCTTTCTACCATGACACCATTGAGTGAGTTTCAACCACAAATATTTCCTTTATTTGTTGTATGCCCTCAAATCAATTCTGACACATAGCAATTTTAAAGGACGGTGTAGAACTGCCCCCACAGTGTTTCCTTGGCTGTAATCATTTTACATCTTTTCTGCCCCACAGCTGCTGGTGCGTTCAAACCATTGACCTTTATGTTAGAAGCTGAGTGCTTAATCATTGCACCATGAGAGCCTCCTCTTTCCTTTAGTGGCCAACTACAAATCATTTGTGCCATGAAGACACCATGTAGGTGGAATCCCCACCCTATTGCCAGTGGATCCATTCCAACTCCCAGCAACCTATAGGACAGAGTAAAACTGTTGTATGGGGTTTCCAAAGCTGTACTCTTTAGAGAAGGAGACTTCTACATCTTTCTTCCATGGAGGAGATGGTGGGTTCAAACTGCTGACCTTTCAGATAACAGCTGACTACTCAATCATTGCACCCCCAGGGCTCTCTTAGAGGGACTCAGAAGTCAATACTGAGGTAAAGTCTCTTGCCATGACCCAGAGTGATATTCAGGGTTTATACATGGCCACTGACCAACTGAAATGCACCTGCAACCTGTCAGGATGGGCGATAGTGTCATAATCAACTGCTATAACCTCTGCAGGCCCACATTGGGAACTCTAGAATTTCCCATCTTACTCTCTGTTTTCCACTGTTGATGGTACCTACAGGTCATCAGTGAACACACTGTGGGCCATGGAAGAAGAACTTTATATTCTGATTAATGTTACATATAAAAAGGAGCTCTGGTGGTGTAGTGCCTAAGGCTAACAAAAAGGCTGGTAGTTCAAACCCACCAGAAACTCTGCATAAGCAAGACTGGGTAATCTACTTTCATAGAGATACCTCTTTGGAAACCCAAGGAGGGGTTGCTATGAGTCAAAATTGAACATTACATATGTTGTTGTTGTTGTTATGTGCCGTCGAGTTGGATCCGACTCATAGTGACCCCTCCTTGGGTTTCCAAGGCAGTATCACTACAGAAGTAGATTGCCCCATCTTCCTTCCGAGGAGTGGCTGGTGGGTTTGAACTGCCAGCCTTCTGGTTAGCAGTCAAGTGCTTTAGCCACTATGCTACCAGAGCTCCTGAACATTACATATATTAACCAAAAAATAATGAGTTCATGTTTTCTTATTTCAGGGCCTTATTGTGTGCATAGAATTCTGTCTTGATTCTCCTTTTCTCTCTATCAGATTGATATGATGACAGACAAGTGGATGGTTGTTGCCTCTGTAGAGGTCCTTCTACGATTTCCTCTGATGCCAGAAGAGAATCAGGGAGCCCACTGTGTCTTGAACAAAACATATCAGCTCTCAATGGACCAGCCTCACCCAGCTTCATGTAGATATGGAGACCAAGAGGAGAGGTAGGACAGAAGTCAAGGAGTAATGTGGTTAGGTCTGGAGGGATTATAGATACAGATGTTGTCTGGAGAATTCTACTTGAACTTGTCATGAAGCTTCTATCCTGTGTGTTCTTCACAATAGCATAGGTTTTACTTGTGAGTCTCTTGGTGTGAATATGCACATTTATGTAAGCTTTCACAGGCATCCTCTGATTGCATGTCTATATGTAGATCGGTGCATGTCTCTGTATTAACATGTGAGTGGATGGATAGATTTTGTGTAAAATTTCACAGATTTGATTCACATAAACCACATATTTGACAAACTGTCAAGGGACATGACAGTTTCTTCAGTAAGAGGCTATTCTGTGAAACGTGTATGTTTCCTGGTAGAAAAAAAAAAATTTTTTTGCTGGCTGCTGGTGTATTGCCATTGATAAATATTGGAAGATCAGATGGTGTGACTGTTGTTGTTGTTATTATGTTGTTATGTACCATCAAGTCAGACCTGACTCATAGCAACCCCTCCTTGGGTTTCTGAGGTGGTATCACTACAGAAGTACATTGCCCAACCTTCCTTCTGAGGAGTGGCTAGTGGGTTTGAACCTCCTGTCTTCTGGTTAGCAGTCAAATGCCTTAGGCACTATGCTACCAGAGCTCCTGATGGTGTGACTAGACTAAATAAATAAATACAAGCCTCATTTTCTCTAAAATTCTCTGAGAACAACTGCACAAGCACCCTGGCCTACAAATTCTTCAGGATCACTCATTCAAGGTACAATTCTTATTTCATCACTGATAAATTGAGTGGTCTTGTCTAAAAGTTCCATTCCAACAGTAGATAAAGGATGGGAAATGATGACAAAATGTGACAACAATTTGTGCAAAGAGCAAATAGTTGTGGATGTAACTTAATAGCAATTAACCCCTTTCCATCCCCTATGGGATTTTTGTCTTTGTGTTGATGTGAAATTTTGCATACCTTCTGGTGGCTCAGGAAATTCATCAATCAGTGCCTGAGAAAGACTGACCAGAGGACCAAGGACTTGGAGACAGTAGATCATTACACACAGGAACAATCCCACAGAACCTCTAAAGTCCAAAAACTGAAGAAGGAACAGAGAAGACCTGTGAGGCAGAGAGCTCCCCCATCAGAGAAGATAGATACCAGGGTAAGTCAGACTGCATCATGGGCCCCAGAGTGTATTTGAACAGGGAAAGCTCTATGTCTATCGCTCTGCTGTCATTTCCCATCCAAGGGTAGATACGATAGATATGATACTAAGCAGATTCCTGTTAAATGGCCACCTTGTTGTTTGCCCATTCCTCAATGTCTAGTTCATTATAAGCAGATCCTTCCTCAGGGGGAGAACCATAATGTCTTGGATTTTTTGGCAACTAAAGTGTCACTTGCATATATCACTTTCCCTAAAACCAATATTCTACTTCATTGTGTCCTTATGTTGACTTTTGAAAGCATCTGTGATTTCTGCTGACTCACTGACCACCCTTTTCCTACATCCACAGGTGAAGTGCAAGAACTGTGGAGCCTTTGGGCACAAAATGAGCAGCAAGAGATGTCCCATGAAGTCCTGGGATGGGGCCTTTGCCCCACAACCATTGGGCTCAAATAAGAAAAAGGAGAACCTGGAACAAAGGAAGCTCCAGGAACCACATACTCAAGAGTCCTTTAGCAAGACTGACAGACAAAAGGAACAAAGACAAAGGTGAAGAAACTGTAGGGTCAGAACATTGGGCACTGGAACCTAAGGATTTTGTGTCTTCCCTTTTCCTCCCTGTGTGCAGCTATATCTAGGCACAGAGAAGGAAACTGGAGAACTAGACAAGCACCCTAACACCCTCAGAGCTAGACACTCTGGA